TGCAGTGAACGTCAACACAGTGTGACAAATGAACTAAGAATTCAGATCACCTGGGAAAGGGAGAAGACCTTCGCTGATACCTGCTGAGACCTTTAAATTGCTAATGGCGGAGACTTGTACATATTATGACAACTCAGCGCCGGGTCATGATCTTTACACACTGGACCCCCAGCTCAAACAAGTCATGCGTTTTGTAAGTGACCTCACTGTGGCAACCAGGCTTCTTCGAGTCCTGAGGTAATGCGCCGAGTGCCTGCTTCCATTCACCAGGACTAAAACCACAGATATTGTTTAGAGAATTCCAGTCAGATACGGATATGACAATAGCACTGATATTGCGACCCAAGCCAAGCAGATTCACCATTAATTTATTATAATACGGTAGAACTCCCATTAGCAAAACCGTCACACCTATAAATAATGTACTTTGAAGCAGAGTACACGTGTTCCATCTTAACCGTTCCGCCTAACGTTAATCCAGTTGTGGTGTATTCAGCAATCAAGAGTGAAGACACCTCTCCACTGCTAGTATACAGAACAGAATGATATGTCTTGACTACTTGAGGGTGTCCGTGATGGAGAGGTTCCAATGTGACTGATATGCCCAGTCCCCTGAGGGGGTACATGCCCATCATGATGATGGACAGGCTCCAGTGTAACGTAATACGAAAAGAGGGGATCAAGAAGCCGGACGTATTCCACCAAAAATTTAATTTCAGTTGCACCCTCCCAATGATGACCAGGTAGGAAGTCATACTTAGTAACCTAAATGGTGTGGGTAGTACGACTCCACGTCGCCAGGATCAGGTCGTAGAAAGGAAGCTGTACTATCCACATGAACATGAAGATCATGAATGGGTTTGCAAGACTGCAGGCGTCCCAGTACCAAAAGCAAAAGGAGCTGGGATAGGTCATGTACATATACTGATAACACAGTCCCCTGCCACTTGCAGCACATGCAGCTCTGTATGTATCAGCCCAGACATATCACCACTGCACTCCAGCGTCCACATGCACACAATTGCCTTGGCTCACAAGCCACAGGACACCCCGTTGAGCTACTCATGCCATGACATCGCAATTTGACAAGCTGGACAAGCTGGACGCTGCTTTTCCAAGAAGTTCTTGAGTTGTTCAACACATACCACACAGACTATAAGTGAGTTGTTCAACACATACCGCACTGCATGTCATGACTACTCCACTCCTAAACCTTACCAGCGGTGAGTCCAGACTAGCCTGGATAAAACCCATTGCACGGTAGAGGTCAACAAGAACAGCACAGCTTCTTGCAGCACACATGCAGTCCGCAGTACATGGATAGTGTCACTTTAAAGTTTAAATTTGGCGCTTCTCTTCAGACCATGCCACTGTCCCCAAGAGTCAGTTAGTCGAGCAGTTCCCAAAACACCATTTCCCAAACCGCAAACCAAGCAGTGCATTCCTACTCTACTGTGCACAGTGAGTGGCACAAGATGGCTACCGGGACAAACTCCAACCAGTAGTCGTGATGGCACCGTAACACCACCCCTACGTATATACAACACTACATGTACATCTGCTGCTGGGTTTACGGGGTGTTAGCAGATGCCGTGAGTTGCCTTCGGGAACGGACACGATAATTTACTTTCATTTACAACGGGTTACACTGCCACCAACTGTGACTGGAGAGCTGTGCCAGAGGTCTGCTGGCAGAAACGTCTTCCAGGAGAAAGCAAAGTGCGCTTGGATCACAGTACAATGAACAATTTAATTTCTACAAGGCACTACTAATCACAGTACATGTACAATGTGATTTCAACAAGGCCCCACCAGTACTGACTAAACTACAAGCCACACTCTACGCACACTACAATGAGTAGCCACCATCACAGAATTCCAATCCACACATTGTTTGACATTGCCATTGTTGCTGAGCTCTCATGCATGAGGAAATAGTAACTATGTAAATGTAGCAGCCACACACTCACCAGCCAGGTGCATAGCAAAACTGCACTGGGGTGTGTGCAACAAGGCAAAGACTTCCAAGAGGCCACTAAACAGAAAAATGTAATCAAAGCCAAAGCGGACCAAAGCAGCAGTAAAGCAATGTACACCTGGGTTCTAAATTAGTGCACCGTACACACAAGTTCAATTACAAGTACAATAACAAATCTAATTAACTGCAGGGCTGTTCCAGTCTACGCCCCAGGGGCAATTGCCACAGTTAGAGAGATTTTAAACCCCGCAGGGCTATACCGCCATGCATGTACACACGCCACACACTAATGGTAACAATAACTGAATTAGGTGTTCACCACTACAACATGATCAACACCTACTCAAGAGGCTAACCATCACGGCATCAGGCTAACAGACATACCAGCACACATGCCACACAACTACAACAATGTCACGTGTGTGTGTGTGCCCATATACATACATGTATGCAGGCGTACACTTGTGACTTGTGCTGAGGAAACTGTGCTGTGTGCTGAGGAAACTGTGCTGTGTGCTGACTGTGGACAGGGGCTAGGGAGGGCTACAGTACAGTACTGTTGGGCGCCTAAGAAAGACCAGGCTAGAGTTTCACCAAGTACAGCATACCAATGTGTACACAGTGACTCAACTATGATAGACTGTATACATGTAGTACATGAAAAATAAAAAGGGTCTAGACTACAAAAATGTAGGCTAGTAGGCTAGGAGGATGCCACCCCGTTCTTCGGCGACAGACAGTACTGTACATGTACACAAAGAATAGGATTAGAAGGGGACCACTGCTGTAGGAGCATATAAAGTAGTCATATTCATACACACAATACACTTCACATGGTTTACAGCCATATTACACTACCCTACAATCATACACTACTTGTAGTATACTAGAAAATCAAATAACAGCAGGCCACAGACACACGCACGCATGCTAGCTATGCTCAGTACTGTGTTTTGTGCTCAGTGTTTACTAACAACAGCTCATCAGCATCACTATAAACACAGGCATCAGCATCACTATAAACACACGCACACAACTCAACATACACATGCCTGCAGCTCTAGAGGAAATAAGCTGTGAAGAGGTGACAAGCAGCAATTATCCAATGACCACAGACACTTCACAACATGCCAGTCCAGGGCTAATTCATGCCACCAGCAAGCACTAGGTGAAGCAAATGATTACGTGTAACACTAACTCTGCAGAGTCACATGACAATACGTCAATAGCAGCTACAACAAGTCATACTACTGGTAGTGTTTGGTGCGTCAGTGCTTTGCCAGTGTTGTCAGTGACATCCACATGGTGTTTGTGTGTGTAATGTACATGCCAACATGGAGTGCGTATGCATTATGCTGACGCATGGCATACCATTCTTTAGACTTCACATACTACTAGTAGTAAGCATTACATTGTAGCTCAGTACATGCCAGGGTCACCTCCGCGTGTACCCTATATTTTGCCAACGATTACGTATCAGAGCAAACCAACGCAAGCATGAGACGTGTAAGCTACACCATGCCTGGGCAGCCAGTTGCTCGTCCTTGTTAGGTCTCCTCAGCGGAGCTCAAGAGTTCTTGTTATACATGTATTTACATGTGACAGCTAAGCCACCTTACCACCACAAATACAAATACACCAACACGGCCATGCTCATGAAAATGCAAGAAGTGGAAACGGTTTAGTAACAATTTCGTGTCCTCTCAAGCTTTTTAACAAATCCCTATTCACACATACGGTGCTTTGGGAAGACAAGATCAAGACCAGCAACCCTTTGACATCACAATGCATAGAACAAACGACAGCCTTGCGGAGCATTGTGTGACTACACATAGAGAGATAGAGACCACTGTGCACAACCAGCATTCCAGGAAGCGGCGGATCAGAATCACATCAATGCACAGTGTTTACCTACGCAGATGACATCCTCCCCCACATCTGCCGGCCACGCTCGCTCCGTGAATGGGAAACTGAGAATTCATCACGAATGACAGACACAATGAATACCCGTATGGACAACCACTCACTCTCGCTATGGCCAACTTCACTATTGTACTACACAGGTATTCAATACTATTCATCAGTAGATTAGGGCGGTGTACAGCCTGTCACTGTAACACAGGACAAACTACCAACACACGCACACACACACACATGATACATGTACTATCACTGACCTACTACTGTGCTAGATAGGTTGTAGGTCAGCAGCTCAATGCTTACACGTTACAGGCAGAACTGTTTGATATCGCTATTGAAGGATCAGGGAATTGAACAGTTTAGATTCAATCTCATGCAACCTTCCCAGCTCCACACCGCCCCCTGCCTGCAATCTATCAGTCTCTGATCTGATCATACATGCTGTACATGTATAGGAAAAGTAACCCATGTCCCAGGGTTCACACTTCCCAAGCACAATCATGAAACGCCCAATGCATTGTTTCAAATGTACAAAGATAGCCCAATACAGTATTTTCAAGGAGCAAAGACATGTCTGAACACACAAACTGCTGCAGCACTGGGACGCAATGGCACTACTTTGAGATGATTTACATACTAGGGCCTATTGTTCCTGGAGCAGAATCTTCAACAACGTTATTCAAATAGCACCTTGGCCAAGGGTACTTACTAGACTGTAGATGCTTGGAGAAGTGAGCAGGAGACACCCCAGCTACCTGCTACTCTGCAGATGTTCTGTGCTCTATTTTCACAGCCAAACCCAACGCCTCCCGCTGGCTACACATTACCTACTCAAGTAGGAGCATGGGAAAGTGATCTCAGTTGCATGTTTAACATAACAAGCTGCCACCCCCCACCCTGCCCCAACACCATGTACAATGAGATACATGTACATGTAACATGCAAGGAGACATAGAAAGACACAGGCGCCTGTTTATCAGCGTGATGCACAGTCATGCTCAGACTGAACTACTCAGGTAACAGTTACACGCTGATAGACAGCACAGAATAAGGACCTGCACTACCCCCATCATTGACATAGCTCTATACGGATAACCAGAACTACAGTTACAGTCAGTAGGATCATGACAATCACAAACATCACCAGGAGTCCCCAGAGACCAACAGGAAACCCAACTCAATGGGAATTCCACAAGAACTATTTTATCACCTACTGCCTAGGTATCAAGTTACATCAAGTTTTGAGCCAGTCGTGGATCAGATAACAACACTAAAGGAGATAATGAAGTGTGAAGAGCAGTGCCAAATCTGTGTTGTCAGAAATCAAGCACGCATTGCCAGTGGCTCTGAAAACCAATTCTGCTCCAGCTGAGAGTGTGTCAGGTGTCAAACTAAACTACAAGTAGTGTGTTGTTATTGCTGTTGCTGGTGGTCAAGTCACAACACAGATCAAGCAGCAGCAGCAGCAATCACTGGCAGTAGAGAGGTGAAGATGATAACATTAAGATGTCACATGACATGATGATGATGGAAGGCATCAACACAAGAAGAGCGGCTTGGAAAAGCTCTGAGGATAGAGAGACGAGCCGCTCGCTGATGGCTGTCAAAACACCCCCACAGGCCTCTCTCTCCATCTCTCTCTCTCTCTCTCTCTCTCTCTCTCTCTCTCTCTCTCTCTCTCTCTCTCTCTCTCTCTCTCTCTCTCCACAATAGACTTACATATGTATGGTGCTGGATAAGCCAACAGCCACAGATGCACACAGCAGTAACCATTGAAGCAGAGTCAAACACCAGGCCGGGAAGGCACCATGGCTGGATGTCGCGTCGCCAGTATCCGTTAACACAATCCATGGTTGTGGGAACTCTAGCAAGCAAGGTTCCAGTCGCTGAGATTGTGTTATCGAGGGTAATCCACGCCGTTCTCATCATTTCCACAGCCACAGCAAGCAGAAATGGCCCTCTCATCTGCGTTTCCTGTGACTGTGTGTTTAGCAGTGATGAATGTGGCCATAGTGATGTGTACGCCAGCACAATCATCATCAACCCATCGATAACACGATACGGAACAAACTGCACGTGTTTTACCGACCCAAGACCAACTCAGTCCTGGTAGGATTTCAACACACGCGCACATACATTCTGTTACTGAAACCAGCGCACCCACCTCACCATGCACTCAGGGCTATGCAGGCTTGCTCTCATTACTAGATGCTGTTGTCGTCGCAGGCAATAGACGGGCAGCTATCTCTTGCACTGCTGCAAATGTTGGCGAGCCAGGAAATTTCTCGGCAAAGGATGAGCCACTCTCCAAGCTGGCTGTCAGAGAAGGATCAAGGGGCACTCGACCTGGTGAGAAACGCACGCACAGTACAGCCATTTACCAATGTTGCCAACGATATCTTGTACGGTGCACATCCATGTGACTTTTAATAACGCGTCTTAGTCTGCTGGTGCTGTGAAAATAGTCCGGTGACCTGGATAAGAACTGATTGCCAAGCTGCCGAAAGGGTAAAGATTCTACTGCCCCTGTTGCGGAGGTTCACACGATTCTTTTATAGTACTGCAAAGCCTCTACACAACTGTGGCCACATACATGTAATACACAAGTCATTCAAACTGGAGAGTCGAATGCATGCTGCATTGTGCTTGACGGGCAGCAGCAGCAGCAGCAGCAGCAGCAGCAGCAGCAGCAGCAGCAGTAGCAGCAGTAGCAACAGTCTGTGGCAGGGGCGTCGTATACGGTATGATCACTACGGTATTGACCGTACCACTATTTGCCCCAAGTACCCCGTGAATCAATAAAATGCACTGATTTGCGTTCCAAATTTCCGAAAAAAAATTTCGGCTCAGCCATCCCGCCCTCACGAGTAAATTGTACTTCAGATGGCTGACCGTACCACACTGAAATACCTTCCGACGCCCCTGTGTGGTTTCAAATTTCAATAAAACATGTTTCAGCAGCAGCTAGTCATTCTTGATCAGTGCTATGAGGGGATGGCTGATGCTTCCTACTCGCTACACTACTAGTACAGGTGGAATCTTGATAATTCGAATATGGCTTAATTCGAACATACCGCTTAATTAGAAGTATTTCCAGGACCGATTTCAATCAATACGATTCCCACATAAATTGTTCTGATAATTCGAACCTAAAACTGGACTTGTCCAGTTAATTAGAAGTCCCACGGATTCCACTTACATAGAAAATGTGTGGGATTTGTGCTGATAATTCGAAGTTAGTAAAGTGTAATTCGAAGTTCACTGTACACTGTACTGGTCAGTTCAGTTTGCATGAGCAGGCTGTGCCGGTCAGTTCAGTACCCGTGAAATCTGTGTCTAAGGTCCATAGCGCAACTCTGCGTGACTATGAGAGCATTTTGACATACATATTGTGTTGTGGATTCATGTTTGGATAATTAGAATGTCCGGATAATTACTATTTTAGACGTTTTTTCCTGGCATTTTGAGGTTCGAATTATCAGGATTCCACCTGTATATCCAAACGAGTGTTACTGTGTTTGTCTAAAGTGTGGGACTATTATGTACTACGGACAACCTCGGTTTTTACAGTCACCTAGAGCCAAACCTGAGAATGGTAATCCTACCATGGCATGCTATGCCTTAGTCCTGCACTGTGCAACAGCCGGCATGTAAAAGCCTGTCGACACAATAAAGCCAATACAATCGATAGAAATTTGCTCGCAAAAAGCAGATAATCCAACATTGATCGCAAGAATAATAGAACAATTCTTACCTAAGAAAGGGATCCCGCTTTGCTCAGCAAACGACTCGCCACCACCCTGGGAGAATATGTTCGTACATTCCTGTAGGAAACATAGGGAGAGAGAGAGAGGCATCCTTTGATCCTCCAGGGGGAATACATGTGTCAACAAAAACATTCACTTTCACCCTTTAAGCCATTCGCAAAACATTACATTCGACCCTTTAACCCTTTGTGGACGGACTGTACGAGTTTCGATCTAATAAGATCGAAACTTCGTAACTTCATAACTCCATCGTTTCTTGAGCAAATTCCACAATCGAAGGGTCTGCGTGGTAGCGGGAACTCCAAGCTGTCCAATGCAACAATCGCCGAAGAGTTACAATGTCGGACGCCAGAGATATCGCACGCCGTATTCTTACCTCGGCAAATTCAAATTTTTGATCGATCATTTCGCCATTTTGGGGGAAAATCCCTTTTCGTGTGCTCTTTGAGCGACTGAGCACATGATAATGACGTAGCCGGCTGAAGTTTGAATCGTCTCAAACAGATTTGAGCGTTCTGCGATGAAGGAGAGTGGAATGGCGTTGATGGGACGAATTTGCTTGCATATCAGGCTTGGAGACGACTTTGCTGTGTTACCGCGCCTGATTTGTGGCGGCCGGATAATGGAGATTGGTACCCTGACGTAGCTCTCGCCAAGAGCTTTCCAATGAGCCCTTGATTGTGAAAATCAAGTGAAGGACACCAAAGTTATGATATGGAAAAGTTGAAAATTGTACTGACATTTTGTAATTCTGGTGCATACTGTGCTAGTAATCCGTCCATAAAGGGTTAAAACCCATTTACAATACTGTAAATATACAAAATTTCGGCGCTGCAAAATTTCGGCACGATTTTTGACATTTCGGCGTGGGGTAGATCAGAGAGGGCATGGTACAGTGCGACAGATGCTGTGAAAAACTTCATCGGCGTTTTGGGTCGGTGCCGAATATAGCCGAAATTAAATAGCTGCCGAAAATTTGTATATTTACAGTACTTCTTTGAAGTACAAGAGTGAAGATGCACATACAATGGATGGATGTATTGTTCTCTGGCAAGGATGCACTCTATGGATAGTTGGGATAGTTGAGGCAGTAGCTCACCGAACACGTGGGGCATACGAATCCACTCATGTTCTCAACCAGACCCAGAACGTTCAGACCAGTCTTGCGGCAGAAAGATAACTCGCGGCGTACATCAGCCACAGCAACCGCCTAGCCACAACGTGTGAGACAGGACAATACACACACACGCACACACACACATATACACACACACACACACACACGCATGCACGAACACACACACGCACGAACACACACACGCACGAACACACGCACGAACACACACACACACACACACACACACACACACACACACACACACACACACATACACACATGGCATGCAGTAAAAAGACACTTTAGCATCCATGGCCACAGCTCCATGATCCAACAGTCCAGGGGTGCCAGAACTGGCTCATTTTTCATGCCAAATTTCAAATATTATTCTGGGGGAAGATTCCGGCACCCCTTCTGCTCTGACTACACCACTTTCAAAACCATTCCTCTGCCCCTGCTGTAAGGCCCTCTATGATCCAAGATCAAATGATAGGGAGAGCAAATGCAGGGTGCAGCAAGCTAGTGCAATGCACCTCTGTAAGCATGTACAGTCAACTTTGCGAATAACGACACTCGGCGGGGCATCAGAAAAGTGTCCTTATTCGCGAAGTGTCCTTATACAGTAAAACCTGTGACTACCGACCACCCCTTGGTGCCAGCAAACAGCGGTCTTTAGTAGCAGGTGGTCTTTAGATAGAGGTTTGCACCGCGCGACCATAATGGATCCCATTATATGATATGTATATCAAAATGCAGCTACATGTAATACAATTCCCCAGGACTTGCACAATGCCATTCTTATTTCAGGTCAAACAACACTTGAAGACGGAGAAAGATAGAGAGAGACAGAGAGAGAGAGAGAGAAGATTAATTTTTTGCGGACATCAAATTCAGCTCCTACTTCTGAAGCCAGGAGTCAAACGTTCCCTGTGGAAGTTTCGTTTTGCGCTGGGCTTCAAATTTGTTCATGCGATCAATCGTACCGACTGTCCTTGTTGCGACTTCTCGATTGCTTGAACGCGACACTTCAGCATCAGGACCTTGCAGTGCTGCTTTGTTTCTGGATTCCTTGATGCTATCGTCAGTTCGTCTGTATGACTGGGGTGACAGAGTCGCTCAGTCTTCGTTTCGCCTCCGAGTAGTATAACATCGATCAGAGAGCGCTTTTGATGCGCGTTTCCTATCATGTTTATTCTTGACATCGCTTGAAATTTTGACAGGTGTACAAGTAGTGCAGTCCACACCGACTCCACAGTCAAAATGACCTGCGTTCATTTCTTCAGCTGTGGTATCGAAAGATTCCTTTCAGGACCACGGAAAATCATCAAAATATCTAGAAGGAGCTTCGAGCAACATTTGATTTCCTATATCGCGGTCGCTAGTTACGGGTCAAAAATCGTCTTTAGGACAAGAAAAGGCAGTCGCTGGTCGCGTTCAGCAGGTAGTCGCTAGTCACAGTGAATTTTGAATGTGAGACCGTCCGTGCCTGGCGAAGTGGTCGGTAGTACCAGGCTGGTCGCTAGTCACGGTGGTCGTTAGTTACAGGTTTTACTGTACCTGAAGTCTCATTATACGTATTACAGTTAGATGGGACTTTGCTCTGGGCATGGAAATTCTGTCGTTTTTCGCGAATTGTCGCTATATCCGCAGTCGTTATTAGCAAAGTTGACTGTACATGTACTAGCGCCGGAGAGTGTGCAGATCCCGTCTGTACCATCTCCGACGGCAGAAGTTCACATCACGTGACAAACCCATGCCCAATATTTGCACTATGTGCAAGATTGCTACTGGGACTTGATAACAATGTTTTTGACTTCCGTAGTCATCATACCTTTCAGAAAATATATAAGTGTTATGCGCTAATAGCTCCCTCACCTAAGCGACCATCCACACGGCCATCAACCAGCTATCGCTAGGCTATGCTTTATATTGGCCAAGTCCCACTGAACATGTAATAGTCGCCTGATGATTGCATTGAGCAAGAAACTCTGAGTTGCGACAAACCTGTAAACCTCCGTTGTGCCTTTTGTGTGGAAGTTTCATACGTTTTTATTCCCGTAGCTATGCAGAAGACGTTACTTCAGTAACGTCTGGCGCTAGCCAGGGTCCACACAGCTTTAATTTGGTGTTTGTTTGTTTGTGTGTTTGTGTCACGCCTGGCGCTATCCCGTATCTGTCCCGTACCGTACCGTACCATCAAACACAGCTGGCCACATACAGCTGGCCGCAATATTCAAATAGGGCTTTCAAATGCAAGATCATAACGTGAAGCAACTTGGAAGAATGAGTATGAATGCGAAGTGTATGGGGGAATGCATGTAGGGCGATAGTGCGGGTTCGAATCTCAGGTAATGCCTGAATAAAATGAGATCCCTTTTCTTTTTTTGCCGTCATCAAGGCGTTAGACGGTGTCGTATTACCCTCGACCGTACCTGTCCCGTACCTGTCCCATACCGTACCGTACAATCAAAGACGGCTGGCCACAATGTATATTCAAATAGGGCTTTCAAATACAAGATCATAACGTGAAGCAACTTGGAAGAATTAGTATGTATGCGAAGTGTATCGGGGGATGCATGCAGGGCGATAGTGCGGGTTCGAATCCCAGGTTATGTCTAAAAACTATTGTTGAAACGAGCGTATCTATAACAAACGAGCGATCAGTTCCACTAACGAGCAAGCTATCGAGCAAGCTAACGAGCTTCATTGATGTGGCAAATATGATTTTTTGAACATATTTTTTCCAAGTTCGATTTTTTTCAGCTGGTTCAAATTATCATCGTTGGCATTTGGGGTTGCTGCTGCTTCACCTCGGACTGCTGTTTGGTGTCAAGATGTCTTTTCAGCGCCGTCGTTGAGCAGCCTTTGTAAGAATAGACCGTTTTGCAAAGATTGCAAGTAGCCCTGGTCTTCGCTGCATCTCGGGAGAAAACTTCCAAACGACTGAGCGTAACTTTCACTCGAATGGACAGGTGACCGAAGCATAACCTGCGACAGGTCAGCAGATGCGGAACAAGACATCAGTAGAGTCCACCAAAGCTGCAACGACAACTGAAACAACTCAAGTGTCGTGCAGGCATACAGTCACTGTAACTGCGAGTGATTTTCACTTTGCGCGGGACTGGACTCTCGATCGACCAGGGAGTCGTAAAATAGTTTACGAGGCCCTGGTCGACATGTACTGCCATTTGTAGGGAGTACGGGGTACGGTGTTCGTTAGTGCAAACGAGCTGGCTGCACAAACGAGCCGAGTTTCTGGCGAGCGAGCTAACGAGTACCCGGTGAGATCGTTTCAACATTACTAAAAACAAAAAGTAGAAACTTATAAGAATTTATAACATCCCTATGCTTTTTTTGTCTAGGTCATCAAGGCAAAAAAGCATAGCGTAGGGCCCTGAGCTTCCAAGCTCTCTCGTTTTATTTACGAATATCAATCATTTCAAAGTCGTGGTGGATGTTCCGCGGTTTACACACAAATACAAGATCTTTGGCCATGGCAAGTGAAAGCCCTATGCATGCGACACACCAAAACGTTAGGGTGCCAGTTCTGGATAAAGGCACTGTAGGTGCCGCCAATCCTGGCGGTACGTGGCAGCTTGAAGCTCATCCGCAGTGCTGGTGAAGCCATAGCTTGGAAGAGAAGTCCAAAGACAGAGAGAGTGAATTGATGGTCTCACCTGAGATGTTGTGACAAGAACGGCCCCGTCTGGATGGAATTCCCGCAGCGCTTCCACCACTGTGATATGCTCATCGCTGGTACCTGAGCAAGTAATGCATACGAACACACACATGCACACATGTACATGAACACACGTACACATGTAGCGTATCCTACATAGTGCATGTTCATCGAGTACACTGTAGCCAGCCTCAGGACTTTCTCATGTGTGCTCACGATCTGTTTACTTCTTTTCTATCTCTTTCTAGAACTCCAACAAGACTTTCTAGAACTCTCCAGAATCTCTTCTACACACACAGCCTTATGGCATATGCTGATTCCTTATCTGTACCTTCTAGAACATTATGCAATTATGTCCCTCCGCCACTATACATGTACAATGTATAAGTACGTGTAAGAGCATCTCCTTCCTGATCTTCACTCTAGTCAGTCAGTCCAGGGATCGATTTACTTTGATTTTTTTGCATAGCAGTCACTGCTACACAGTTTTACAATTGACTAGCAACTCCCAGTATTGATTAGCAGTTTTCCTTCATCAAAAGTTTACATGTATAGCTGTACAATAGCAGGATTTCGTACAGAAGAGGACAATAGCTGCAGTTGCTATTTGCTTTTCCAAGCGAATGTTCAACCTGAATATTTACGTTAGAGTTTTCGCTTGGGCACGTTACATGTTCAGCGTCCATCCGTCTTCGAGTTCTTCACAACACAATGTCTTTCAACAGGGCAGTTCCACTGATTCCTTCGACAAAGAAACCTCAGGAAAGCGCTCAAACGATCGGGACATTTCGTGCAAAGCGCATCGAATTTCGCTTTTCTCCTTTTCTTCATCGAAACGAATCGACATTCCTGGCGCGTCCAGTTCTTTGTCCCTCTTCTGGGCAGTGAATCACTGATCAGATTCACTGACATGTTGGCTACATGAGACTAAGAACCATCTACTTCAACTGTGCCTTGTCGAACAGAAACAAACTGAGCTTGACAGTGAAAGAAGAACATCAGGAAAAGTCACCGCCGTGTACAAAACTTCAGAAGACTGCAGTCATGTACGACCAGTGCTAGTGCAGTGTCCAAAATCGAAAGAGCGCGATCCGCGAGTCCGCGACCCGCGCGGACTGAGCAGGACAGGCCAGTTGGTTGGAGTAGTAAAATACTACTCCCTAGTCAGCAGTGTGTACATCAGTCGCATGTAGACTGCACACAACTGGTCTTTGTAGTGCATCGCAGTTTTGGGCGATAAAAAACGAAAAGCGAATCGCAGCCAGTGAATTTTGATTCGCAAACTGCGATGCGAACCCGGATAAATCGATCCCTGCAGTCAGTCAGTCTTTCTTTCTTTCTCCCTTTTCGCTTGGATCAGCTTTATCACCTCAATCTAGATTAGGCAGTTTACTTCAATTATCTCGGCTTTCAATAACAAACCTTCTGAAGACAACACTGCCGTTCATGTACGTGATTGTGGTACAGTCAGACCTCGCATAACCGCACACATCCGTTTTCCACAAAAAATATCCGGATAGGCGAGGGAACCGGATAATCGAACACACATACTGTATGTATGCATGGCATATGCTGTAAATCGGTAACCGACGGTTTTCTTCCGGATGGCGAGGGATCCGGATAAAAGAGGACCGGATAAGCGAGGTCTGATTGTAATGTGGACATACATCACGACCCCGTTACATTGGTGACCCTGACGTGATCCAGCGCAACACGATCCTCAACACGCAACAATCATGTCTGGCGGCAACGAACAAGTAGTGGCAGACGCCGCATCCTCTGCTTCAGGTGACAATCCCGCTGTAGCCCCACCTGCTCCCGATCAGCCTATCTCTACAGTGCATTATAAGCTTCCGCCGTATTGGCCAAGGGATCCGCAGGTGTGGTTCGCTCAAGCAGACGCGTACTTCGCAACGAGGCACATAACGCCTCAGAAGACGAAGTTCAACATCATAGTCTCCTCTCTAGCACCAGAGTATCCAGCTGAAGTGAGAGACCTCTTGATTCAACCTCCTGACAAGCAACACTATTACAGGATAAAGGATGCCCTCACAAAGCGCACTCAGAAATCTGAGCAAGCTCGAGTCAGTGCTCTGCTCAGTCAGGAGGGAGTAGGGGATGAGCCGCCCACCCGTCTCCTGCGCAGAATGCAAACTCTCCTCAACAGTAAAGAGTTGGACCCCGCTCTGCTCAGGGAACTGTTCCTCTCCCGCCTCCCATCCCAAGTGCGACTCATCCTGGCCGCCACGCCTAACATGGCAATCGAGGAATTAGCGCAGCTCGCTGACCGTGTGGCGGAGTCTGCCCCACGTGGGACCCACCTGTCCGCCGTGAACGCTGCCACCGCCAGTGCAACAGTGGAGCAGCCTGACGCCATCACTCGCTTTACAGACCGGATGGAACAGGTGGTAGCCGTTCTCTCCACCCGAGACACTCACTACTAGACCTCCACTGCTGCTGGCTCATCGTCTGATCCTGGTCGCCTGCTCCACGTGCTCGACAGGAACTCCCGCTCAGCCTTCCTCGTCGACACTGGTGCAGCGGTCAGTATCATCCCTCCGTCGTGTCTGCCTACTCCTGTCCATTCATCCTTGCCCTCTCGTTCTCCTGTCTCTGCGGTGCCTCGTCTTCACGCCGCCAACAACAGTCCTATACGTACATACGGACAGCACCGAACATCGCCCGCAGGCAGCTGTCGACTCCAACACTGCTCTCTCTGCAGCCTGTCAGAAGTGGAATCAGTCCCCAGCCTGCTAGCATATTCTACCTCCGGTCGATTCACTGCCATCCTGTCCGAGTATTCAGATCTAGTGCGTCCCAACAACAGTCATTGTCCAATTCGTCATAACGTCACCCACCGTATCGTCACAGCCGGTCATCCTGTTCATGCCAAGCCACGTCGCCTAGTTCCCGATCGCCTCAATGCAGCCGGCTAAACGGGAGTTTCAACACGTGCTTGACCTCGGCATCATCCGTCCGTCTTCTAGTGAGTGGTCCTCACCGCTCCACATGGGACCGAAGAAGTCGGGCGACTGGCGCCCCTGTGCTGACTATCGCTCCCTCAACAATATCACAGTGCCTGATCGCTACCCAATCTCACATATCCAGGACTTCACCCCAAGCCTCCATGGTAAGTGTAGTGATGTATTCATGTACATAAGTATAGTGTGTGCATGCGTACATGCATGCAGTAGAGCACTCAGCAGAGCTTGAAGACGAAGCCTGCAATGGCTAACTCCTGACTTGTATTGTTGCAGTGTTGTCCATCCACATTGGCGCAGTGAACAAGATGACAACGAAGGGCAGAGTGCCCAAGGATTTTGTACCTGATTACGCCGGCGACATCGGGGCCGATTTTGAGCTTTGGCTCGAGGATGTCAATGACTACCTTGCAATTTGCAACGGTTCCACTGCTGTTGACAAAAAGCGTTTATTTTTGAATTTGGTCGGACTCTCAGTTCGCAAAGTTGTGAAGGGTCTGGTTATTCCTTCTCTGCCAGAAAATGATGACGGTTCTCCTGGAGACGAATACGTGGCACTGACGGACGCCGTTCTGGCGCACTTCCGTCCACCATCAATACGACGTCAGAACGTCACAAATTCCGGCAGCTGAAACAACGGCAGGAGGAATCCGTCTCCACCTTCGTTGGCCGTTTACGAGAGAGAGTGGACTTATGTAAATTTGGGGCGACGGATGTGGACAGTGTGGTAAACTCCCAGGTGCAAGACCAGTTGGTTGCGGGTTTGAAATCCCCCGAAGTCTGTCGTGAGCTGCTCAAGGAGTCCAGACTCACCCTCGCAGATGCCATCACCAAAGCAGTGGCACTGGAGACCTCCTATGCGGAGAGTAAGTTGTACGATCCGCCGGCAGAGCCTGGCAATCAGTTTAGCTCAATGGCTGCCGTTAGTGCGACCAGACAGCAACGCAGACAGCCACGTACAGTATCTGGTTCGTGCAAGTACTGTGGCCGTGCCCATGTTAAGGGAAAGTTGTTTTGCCCTGCGGCCAACATCCGCTGTCGCAGTTGTAGCAATATATGCTAACGTCTTCCCAAGATAGATCTTGTTCGTGCTTACCACCAAATACCTGTGCATCCCGACGATATTTCCAAAACAACCATTATGACACTGTTCGGCCTGTTTGAATTCACCCGTATGCCATTCGGCCTACGCAATGTCGGCCAGACATGTTAATGTTTCATCAACCAAATTATCTCTGACTTGCCATTTGTCTACGCCTACCTCGATGATCTCCTCATTGCAGGCTCAACTTCTGCCGAACATGCTCAGCACCTGCACTGTCTCTTCTCCAGACTTGTTGACCACGATCTCATCATTAATGTTCACAAGTCCCAGTTTGGTGCTACTGAACTCGACTTCCTCGGCCACCGACTCAGCTCATCCGGCGTCCGCCCTCTAGACAGTCGTGTCCAAGCAATCCGTGACTTCTCGCCGCCCACCAGCGTCCCATGACTTCTCTCCACCCACCAGCGTCCGCAAGCTGCGCGAATTCATCGATCTGGTTAGGTTCTACCCCCGCTTACAACCGCAGCTAGCAGCAAGGCTCACCCGGCTCAACGCTCTCCTCGCTGGTCGCAAGACACAACAACGCCTAGACTGGACAGATGATGCTGCCCCCCCCCCCGCATTCAACACTGTCAAGAACTCTCAGCTTTCAATAACAAACCTTCTGAAGACAGCACTGCCGTTCGTGTACGTGATTGTGGTAACGTGGACGTACATCACGACCCCGTTACACACACACACACACACACACACACACACACATACACACACACACACACACACACACACACACACACACACACACACACACACACACACACACACACATGCACACATGCACACACACACACACACGCACACAGGCACGCACAGACACACACACACACACAGGCACACACACACACACACAGGCACGCACACACACAGGCACGCACACACACACACACACCTGTCCTGTCCTGTCCTGTAGAGCCACTGCCACAGGGGTCACGTGGGCCCCGGAGGGGCATCAGAGAGGAAGATGGAGCACGCAGCCTGATGACGCCGGAGATGGTGGGGCAAACGGAACCGGCGAGAACACACGCATACATGGCTGAACGAATTACGCTGCTGGGCAGTCGGGCGCGGGCCAGTCCTCGAGCACCGGTGACGACCGCGGCCTTGCACAGACCGAAAGCAGCGGGCACACACAGCACAGTGCGCAGCACAGCAGGCATCTTGCACATAGACTTGCCGGGGCTCGGGAGGCTGAGGCTGAGGTGCGGAACAGCGGTGAACAGCTAGACCACCCTTGCTGCGAAACCAACGCCCACAATCTCCACAGTGGCAAGCCCCTCGCTGCTCAGCAATCGGCTTTGCCCGCTCAACCACACATTTGTGGCGAGCACGATCTCCAGGGCGCGAGAATGACCGATTGCAATCCGCACATACCACTGGGTCAGGCTGAGGCACATTCTCCACAGGCTCGGCGTACATAGTCCGCCAGTCAGCACGGGACTCACAGGCGATAGGGTACCATTCCTTGGTGAGGCCACGAACTCTTAAGTCGGAGACAACGCAATCCTTCCAGCGCTTGCGAGGGCCATGTGCTGGGCGACGTGTGAGAAGTGAGCCAAACAGGATCTGTCTCGGCATCCGGCTACTGTCCATTCGAGCAACATGGCCCAGCCACTCTAGGCGACGCTGTGCGACCTTCACGCAGATGGTATCAGAGTCACCCCACATCTCCAACAGTTGGGCGTTGGTCGTGTGATTATTCCAGCAATCTCTGCGGGACACACCCAGGATGGAACGGATGCACCGCATATGAAAGACTGACAAACGTCTGAGATCGTGTTGCAATGGTGTCCAACACTCTGACCCATAGAGGAGGAGCGACAGCACACATGCATTAAACACACACCTCTTGATATGCAAATCAAGGTCAGGATTGCTGAAGATGGTTCCTTGCAAGGCGCCACAAGCACGAGAGGCATGCGCAATCCGAGCAGTGATGTCCTGTGTCGACCGGCCACCGCGATGAATGAGAGATCCCAGATACCGGAACTCCGAAACACACTCGATGACCGTGCCAGCTAGCTCGATTGGAGCGCAGTCCCCAGGCGAAACATCCCTACCTGCAACCAAGAACTGTGTCTTGGTAGCGCTAACTTTAAGCCCAAACTCAGCTGCGGTCGTGTCAAACACTGCAAGTGCCGTCTCCGCCCCTGCACGAGTCGTCGCGAAAAGTGCTGAGTCGTCTGCAAACTGTGACTCAGTGGCAATGGCAACCGGATCCGTCCTGGTAGGCTTGCGGTAAAGGTTATTGTCACCATCACAATGTCGAAACTCAAAACCAACACCGGGTACATCTCGGACTCGTCGCTGCCACACAGTCACCACCGCCCACATGAAGATGTTAAACAGCACAGGTGCCATGGTGCACCCCTGACGGAGACCATTCGTGACGCGGATAGGGTCAGTTGTCGTGTTCTCTACCCGAACCACCGCCGACATGTCAGTGTGAAAGGAACGGATCACGGCAAGCATGGGAGCAGGGATACCCGCTCGGGATAAGACTTCCCACAGGCAATCCCGAGGCACGGAATCATAGGCTTTCTTGAGGTCTATAAATACAAAGAAGCCTTTGCAGTCGTGCTCAATGGTCTTCTCGAGGAACTGCCGAACACTGAAAACCATATCTGTACAAGATCGGCCACGCCTGAAGCCACACTGAGACTCTGGGAGAAAATCTGCAGCCACAGACTGGAGACGAGTCTGGATGACGCTCGCCAGAACCTTGCCCACAACATCCAGCAGTGAGATACCCCGCCAATTATCACAGCGAGATAAATCCCCTTTCTTTGGGATGGGGACCAAC